TCCAAAGTATTTGATTTAAGTTAAATAAAAGTCTTTTACTTGTGTCTCATGTTGTAATCTATAGATCTGCACCCTATACACGAACTCTCTGTTTCCTTTTAAAGTCAATGGGTGAAGCTTAAATGAGTTGCGCTCAAAAATCGGGAAACAACGGTGACTTAAAGTTTATTTGATGACTCTTGCGTTTTTCTGTCTGAAAGAATAAGTCTTGTGCGTAAGTCAACAAAATGTTTATTTGCAGTTTTCCATCCTTCATGTTTTGTCAAATCAGATAAAAAGATAAATCAGAAAAGACATTTGAAATGGGAAACAAAATAGTTTAAATAGAAATCCTTGAGTTCTCTCTCAAGTGAAGATAACTGTGAAAGGTTTTTCAAAGTTTACAAATGAAAAATATTATTTATTTATTTATTTTTTTTGTTGGCCAGAAGGCAAAGGAGTTTAGAGCAAAGCTTATCTACTCTTCGGATGGTTTGGTGGACACACGGGTCACATTTTCCCCCCAGAAGCGTAAATATTTAAACAGTGCAGATACACTTTTGGAATTAATCCAAGCATTTGTTACTTTTTTGGAGTTATGAAGTCCAACAAATGTAAAAGCTGCAACAAGACTTCTGATGAAAATTTAGAAAAGACACAATATTTCTCCTGTTTTAGCTTCCCTTCATTGCCTACTTGTTAAATCTACAACAGAATTTCAGATTCTCCTTCACACATATGATCAAGCTTTTAATAATCCACCTCCATCATACAGCAGAGATCTGATTGGTCTATGTGATCTTAACGCAGCACGTTGCTCTCAGACTGCAGATTTCCTGCTGGTTCCCAGAATTTCACAAAGTAGAACAGGAAGCGAGTTCCCAGGCTCCTCTCCTGTTTGACCAGCTCCTAGCTTCAGTCAGTAAGGCAGAAATCCGTCTACTTTTAAGAGTAGGCTAAAAATGTCCCTTTTTGTTCAAGATAAAAGTTAGACTGGCTTGCATTATCCTGCATTATTTCTGTAGTTCTGCTGACGCAGGCTTAGGCTGATGGAGGACAAACTGAACGTTTTATCACTTTGTTACATTCTCTTAGTTCGCTCTCATTATTCTTCTTATCTTTATTTTTTTTTCCTCTTACCTTTATTTTACCAGAGTAAAATCTCATTGAGATTTCTCAAGGAAGTCCAGGCCAAGAGCATATCTGCCCATTGAAGCCATTGCCTTTATATTCTCTCTGGTTTTCTCTTTGTAAAAGTCACATCTAACCCAGCATTTACGCTTACCTGTGAGACCTTCCTGGAATGGACCATTAGCTGAGCTATTGCTGCCAATAACTTCATGTTCTCTCTCTATAGATGATGGACTTGGCCAAAGCGGTCTCTGAAATAAAACCTTGTTGCCACCAACTGCTTTTCATCCCATCGATTTTGTACTACAGCCTCTGAGCTTGTTTGTTTAGCTGTGTTTCTCTCCTAGCTGAGGCAACTGAAAAGCTGCTGCTGCCATTAACTTTTTACAGTTTCTCTAACATAGAAAGTGTTCCTGGATCAACTGTGACAGATGGCCGCTTCTACCGGGTCAGGTTCTGGTTCTGCTGAAGGTTTCTTCCTGTGAAAGGGTTTTTCTTTCTACTTGGTTCTGTTATTCATCTGACTCGTCCCTTTGCGCTCCGGGTTATGCTCTCTCACATGAGTGTCACTCTTTTCCAGTGTTGGTTTCTCTGTTTATCTTTCACCTTCCCTCAGTCTGTCGGTCTGCATCCATCACCTCCACCTGCGCTTTTCACAGCCATGCCCATTTCTCTCTGATTAGCTCCTCTGGTTCCCTTTTCATTCCCGTGATTGATCCATTATCGCCGATGTGAATGTCTTGTTTTCCTGCAGTTTATTTATTTCGTATTTCCATAATCGCCGTCATGTGTTCTATGATGATTCCGAGTTTGTGTCTTCATGCTGGTCCATCACCAGTCATAACGATTTTCTTACCAGCTTCTTAAGGAGCCCGAGTCGATGTTTCCTGTTGATACTTACCTTAATGATAATGACAACCACTCGCCTTTTCTCTTCTTGTCCATAAAAAGACTCATCGTTCCAATAAATATTTAAAAACGTCCTATTTGTGTCCGTTGTTGTTGACTGCTTGAAAAAGTCTCATATTCAAATATGACCCAGTTTGGGGGAATATATCCAGTGTCTGTCTTGTCCCTGTTGTCTGATAACTTGTCCAATTACTGGTGACAGTCTTTAGTGAGTAGATAGTGCTTTAGTTGTAATCTTCTACTAATGGATAACTTTCAGATCCATTTGATGCTTTCTAAGCTCTGTAAACTGTGGCTTTAGTTAAATTAGCAAATATAGGAAAAATTGTACAAAGTCAGTTGGACTTTATTTAAGGTTTTTCAAATTCTTAACAACTGATGGTAAGGTGTGAAATTCAGAAGACTGAATACTGAAGTATTTAAAATGGTAAGCAGCTTATTCAACAAGGTTACTGCAGCTTTTTAATTTTTAAAATTTTCTCTAATAATTTCGCTTGATTTTTGCAGACATTTTAAAAGTATGTATCAGTGTCCCGTTTCTTACATCTGGTAGTGTTTGCTGTTTTGTTTCTGGACAGCTTGATAGGAAGTGCTAAGAGTCGGACAGTGACTTGCTCAAGTATCACCCATGCTTGGATGGCGATGTGCTTCTTCAGCAGGATCAGGGAACCTGGACAGAGTTGAGAAGAAAAGGGTGGCGGTTCAACTTGGCTTTCATCAAATTATGTCCGGGTATTAGAACGGCCTAGTCAAAGGTCAGACAAAACAAGAAAATTAATGTTTTAAAGATACTCCCTCTCGTCTGACCGTGGTTGAGCTGTGTAGATGCCCAAAGCTGGTGGACATGAAAAGCGCACACTTTTCAATTACGTAGATTTTGAAACAATGTGTCTATTTTGTGTTTGCGTCGCTCGTGAAATCCACAGAGTGAGATATACGGCTTGACTGTACAAAAATGTGGAGAAGTTCAAGTTGTGTTAATATAGTTTTCACCTAATTGTCACCATTTTGAATCATTTCATTGGTGCTAAAATCTCAGCTTTTGTCAAATTTTTTTATCTTGGCTTCTTTTTTTTTTGTATTGACTGAACAAACAAACAGTCGGAGTCTCTGTGAGGCAGCAGATCTGATTTTGGTTGTTATGCTCCATTTGTCTGTCAAAAGACAAACAGAGCTGTGTCTTTCTTGACTTTCCTCTGCATTCAGCAGGTACGTTTGCAATTTCTGCAGAGGCATCTTCACTTCCCTTGTCTCCATGACAGCAGGGGGACAACACAGCATCACTTGCAGCGTGTGATGTAAGGTTTCTTTCCAGGCGCCAGCAGGATTTTTCCCAGTGCAGCGCTGCAGACAACCCTGGCCCAGTCCTCTGCTTTTGTGTTTTTTCCCAATGTGACACAGAAAGAAAGATTGTGCAATATGGTCAGTTCAGAAAACGTCTCGCTGCAGTCCTCATGTTATGGTGCAGAAGTTTGAAAAAGGAAGGAATAGTAACCATAAACATAATTCAAGATTTGCACACATTACCCTGCCCCCCCCCCCTCTTCTTTCATTTCTATGATGTTCTCTTTTCCTTCCTTTCACTCCAGCTTTCCCTTGTCTTTTTTTCCATTGCATAATTACAGCTGCTCTCCGTTGGTCGTCCCTCTGGCCAAAAGCTTAAAAGACTCAGAAAGTCCCACCAACTCTATGACTTCAACTTTCCACTTTACGTGTGTCCTTGCAGAGGGAACAAAGCCCCATCATAACAGTTAGCATACTTGCATGATGTAACCTGCTGTGCTTTGCACTAAGTAGAAATCCTTGTGCAGGACTGACATAATTTTGTTAGAGCATTAAAAGTAAGAGTCAGGGATTAAATGATACTGTACAATCAAACTGTGGAACAGAGAACGCTGCTTATCCTGTTGTTTCATGCTTTAAGGCACAACCAAATCACAAATCCTTTCATTGATTGCATTACCATTGCAAAGTGTGGTTTACATGCTGAGCAACGCTATTCCGTTTTCTGAAAGTCAGAGTCCAGCTTTCTTCAGTTCCTCTGGTGTCACTGGCTTGCTAAGGTGGAGAACAACATCTGATTTCAATGTTTAAAGAAAGATAACTAAAACTGATTTTAACTTTTTCCAATTCTGGATGCATGCAGACTATGAAAAGCATTGACACATAGATCTGGGGTCTTCAAATCCAGTCGTCGAGGGCCGGTGTCTCGCAGTGCTTAGATGTGTCCCTAGTTCAACAAGCTTCAATCAAATACCTGCGTTACCTCTTTGTTGCAGTCAAGCTCCCCAGAGTCCTGCTAACAACCTCATTATGTGACTCAGATGTGTTGAAGCACAGACGCCTGCAGGACTCCGGCTCTCCAGGCCTGGAACTGAGGATCTCTGATATAGATTATCAAAGCAAAAATATAGAAGCAGCAAGCTTTACAATAGTTCTCCAAGTCGAGTCTGCTGCTGAATGGTCCATTACCTACAAACCAAATGATTTCATGATGATGTCCAGTCATTTCAACTGAGAGGAGTGGAGCGGGAACGCTCTGAAATCCTATATGGAGTTTAGAACACACAAACATTACTAAAAGCCCCTCTCTTTTTTTTTTCCTTTTTTTGGGAATGTTGTAACCATTAAAAGATCTCCCCTTCAGTTCAACCTTATAAGTACAGATACAGTCCTGATGTATATGCCCTCAGCAGTAATTAAGGATTAAGGATAAAGGGGGCAGGGACTGAAGCCCCCTATGCCTAAATCTTCTGTGCCTGTTTTGTTCACATTTAAGATGAGATGATGGTTAAGAAATGTGCCAGGAGTCTGAGACTTTGTCACAAGGTCTCAGACTTCATTGAGAGTTAAACAAAGCAGATGACAAGTCAACAACGAGTTTTTTTTTTTTAGGAAATAAGAGATGCTTGAAGCGCTGCCCTGCCTAAACTCATCATCGGTAGGTTTACTTCCAGCCTGCCTCTCCGTAATACTTTTACTTTCACCTGATTGGACAAGACATCTTACTGAAGCTTCTGATTGGATGCTGTTAAATGACGTTGCACGGATCACACCGGAAAAGCTCGTCTCAAAGTTCGGCGCGGAAACAGAGATGGCTGAAAACGGCTCGAAGTCTAAACTGAAACGGAAGAGGAACTCGGTGGAGGAGTCGAACCCTGAAGCAGGTCCAGGAGCAGCGCGTCCCGGCAGGTCAGCTCTTTATGGACAGTCAGGAGGAACCGGGACGTGTTCCGGTTCGACTCTTCTGGCTCGCCGCACTGCTGTTGCGGTGTTGCGTTCAGGTTCACTCTGTACGGGAGGTTTTTTGGGTTCCTGACATGGTGAGTGTCAGAGACTTGCTCTGGTCAAAACCCAACAGAAACACAGCAGCAGGAACTTGTTTTCAAGCTCCATCCTTTCTTTTATCGGTATAGAAATCTATCATTTTAGATCACTGCCACATTAAAGCACATTAACATGCCAAGATTTTTTCAGTTATTTATTTATTTATTGTTGAGGGGTTGTTATAAATTGTCATAATAAACCTTCAATAAGAGTCGGTTTGCCAAGTGTAGAAAAAGCCATGCTCAGGTACAATATCTTCACCATCCAGGAAATAAGTCTTTGCATGTTGTGGATAGTTTAGCTCACCAACTATTAAAAGTTCAATCCCTTACTAAATGATCAATAAAAATAAAAAAAAGGAAAAATATTTAGAAGGTTCTCCTTTCCAATTAATCAGTCCAGAATGCTGTTGATCCAAACAGTTTGGCTGTTTGGAGGAGAAAGGCCTTCATGGTGGCCAGCTGGCTGCTGTTTTATGCCATCAATGGGCAACAATGAGCACCTTACAAGATGCTGCCTGACACGATTATTTACTTTTAACCCTTTTACAGTGCCGAAAGTTTGCAAGACGGAAACGTGTTAATCATGTTGTTTTCTGGATTTTAGCACCGATTCCTGTTCATTGAAAAAGAACAGAGTGTGAAATGCACCGCTCTGTTTTGAAGTTTGATTGCGTGGTGGTCTGTCACCTCCACCTGCCTCAAACCTGCTTCTGTTTCTGCTTCTACTTCAGCTTCTACTCTCAATATATTCAGAAGATATCCAACATCTCTCTCTTGCGCTTTTAAAAAAAAATCTTTTATTTTACAAAAGGAGTCACAGAGCACCAGATCAAAGAGGAGCCTCATAAATAATTTAATGCCAAGATTAAAAATGCATTGAAAATCATTTTTATAACGGGGAAGACAACAAATTAAAATCACACTCATCTTTTTTTTTCCCCAAAAAACTTTAAAAAATCTGGCGAAGTGTATCTGTTCTTTTTTTAAGTGTTGGAAAGTATTCATCATCGGGTTTGATGAAGAAAGAGCTGAGTTAGCTTGGTGATGCTGAGGAACAGAGTGTGTGAGCTGCTTTCAGGTGTCGGCCGCCTCCAGCAGCAGCAGCAGCAGCAGCATGGTGGAACACGTTGCGGCCCCCCACTGTGGAGAGCCTGTGGGCGTTCACACTGATGTCTGCTCTGCCGAACCTGCAGGACCAGCTCTGGGACCCGGTTCCTGATCTTCCCCTTCCTCCTGCTGCGGTAAGTTACCGAAAGCCGCTCCTGTGGAGAATACGACTCTCTTCAGAAATATTCATCAACATGCTGCGTTAAAAGTCCAAATTCTGACATGCACCTGTTCACTTCGGATCAGGTTGTTTCTACAGCAGCAGTTCACAACATATGTCATCTGGAAGCATAATTCAATCATATACGTTTCTTCTGATCTCTATCAAACAGTGCATTGGGTTTCCCATCGAGGAAAGGAAGCCCAACAGGTCATTGACTTGCAGCATTCACTTCTTCTGGACGATGTTGCAACAGTCGACAATCGCTTGTGTTGTCTTGTTGACTTTGCAGCAATCCCTCATACTGAGAACGCATGTGGCGACAGTGGAGAGGAAAAACTCCACTTCTTTGACGGGAAGAAACCTCCAGTAGATCCAGAACCGGACTCGGTATGTCCAGCAGTCTGCCAAAACCAACAGGGGGTTTGAGAAGATGGAGCAGATGCACAAAAAAAAAATAGAAAGAAGTGATCTAGGAGTGTTTTCTATGCTGGGTTTCCCCTTGAAGACTTCTCTTGATGTTTGTTCACAAATACACTGCAGCAAATCACAGTCATCACTGCCAATTGGACTCCGCTTCCTCTATCCACATATTTCAGTGCAACCCGTTGTCAACGGCAACCTGTGACTCATGTACGAGACGTGGAAAGTAGATTCGTTGCTTTGTCACTAGTTTGCGTTTCAACCATACAGTTTCTGTGATGTGATTGGCTGAGGTCTCCCGTGAGATCGTGAAAACAATGGAGACGCAGTGATCTCGGGACAGCTGCGTCATTTCAGCATGTTTTTGGTGTGAATGATGACGGCAATAGATAGCTTGTCTGAAATTTCATAGACCTAATAAGACAATTTTTTATTATTATTTTTTAAAATTCTATTTAGAGACCTGCCACACCAAAGCTGGAGGAGCAGTGGACGTATGATCTCTTCAGTGATGTTCCTCCCTTTCCAGAAGACGGCCCACTCACCCCGGGGCTTCCATCGGACCAGGACCCTCAGAGTGCATCTTCTGCCCAGGACATTGCTCCAGTCCAGACCAGGCCTTCTGGGAAGTCTCCTGACAAAGGGCCATTGTCTGAGAGCAGACAGAGTCCTGAGCAGCAAGCTGAACCTCCCGGATCCCTCAGCAGGACTCAGAATTGGGAGAAGCCAGCTCCGTCTTCAGCAGGAGAGCCGAGGCTCGGAGGAGAACAAGAACGGTGGAGCCGACCATTGAGCAGACGGCTTCTAGCCGAGTCACTGAAGGTTTCCAACCCACCGTTTTCTCCAGGCGGCGAGGAGGAGGAGGTGCAGAGTACTAGCAAACACGAAGAAGGAGCTCTGCAGAGCTGCCCCATGTGTCTCCATGTGTTCCCTTCTGGGTAAGAGCTGCTCATCACTCACCTTCTCTCTTCGTTTCACACTAAAATGAAACATTCTTTCACGTTAGTCCTCACGAGTGGCAGAGGGCAGCTCTGGAAAATACCCGGTGAAACAATGACAGCCCCCCACTCACCATCAAGGTTTTGGCTGCTTTATGTCTGAATGTGGTTAGATTCTGAAACGTTTACAGTTTCTCTCAGCTTGGCCAGAATATTTGCAACTTTGCACTTTGTACCCTAATCTAGGGTCTGTGTGAATAAGAGGATAAAAAATCCTGTAGCTGTGTCCAGAAAGAGGGAACATAAGAGAGGATGTTGGCCCAACCTGGTAGAACAACAATATTATATTACTCACATATTTATATTATAGACTAATAATATAAATATAAATCTATATATTTATAATATAAATCTAATAGACTTATTGGTATGTGTGAATTTTACAACTTGTAGTCTGCGCTATCTCTTCTATCTTCTTGTATTACTTATGCGTGTTGAAATTGCCACATGGGGACAAACAGTTATTTGAATTGAAATTTGAGGTGATCAGTAAAAGATCTGATCTTGGATCAGCTGATATTGGAGCGGCGAAGCTGCAAAATCCCCAGTGGATTCCTGTTTCTCACCAGTTCATGTGAAGTCGCCTTGGCCTGCTGCATTCACACACAAGCTGACCAGGTGGGATGAAAACTAAGAGTGCAGTGTACCACTGAGTGATGGTGTTGGCGTTTAGTTCAGGGTCACTCTTACCAGTAAAAATCTTCTGTATGGGGGAAACCTTTTGGATCAAGTCCTGAGAGACAAACCAGGACGGTGCATGGCGACGCACCAGGAAGTCCTGCAGGAGCCAAAATTCAGAGACAAACTCTTGAGTTGCATTTAAATAACTAGTAGATTTTAGCTGTCAGTGGATTTATAGAAGTAAATTGAAAGTAAAAGTCAGACATTGTGGTCTAACAGCAAGCTACCGTGTGGTAAACAGTCTGTTGATGATGAAGATGCAGCTCATGATTGGAGTGTTAGTCATCCTGTTGGGGTGGGGGTGTTGAACACGCCTCATTATTTGTACACGCATCATTCTTCTGACTCCTGTAATATTAATAACTCAAATCCTGAGAGTTTTCCCATAAAGTAAAATTACATTTCCATCTAAATCTCTGAAATGAATTGTTCTTAGTTTATTGAGCTGAACTATGCTGCAGGATTCGTTATTGATGAGATGTGATGGGAGTAATGAGTCCTTGATCCAAACCTTCATGTTTATGACTCGTTCCAAATAAAGCGCTCTGGGAACGACGAGCCCCCAGGGTCAGAGCGGCGCTTGGTCTGCTCACGCTGAAAGACGGTCATTAAAACCACATGAGCTCACTGTCCGTCACGTCCCTGCAGGGTTTTATTGCGACTCGCTCGGTAAATTCTGACCAGTTAATGACTGATGTTAGTGGCTCTGTTTACGGTCACCATGTGTTCTTTTAGCATCCCCAGCTGGTGATGATGGGTCCTGCTCCAAATGCTAATAGAAATCCTGTCTGACAGACCCGGTCGCATCGGAAACGGAACGCGCCGACACATCCGTGACCGCACAGACCCATCACACTCTGATCACACCTCAGACACTCACCTGTTTCCTTCAGTGTGCAATTAATGTTATGTCCCCAAGTGTCCAGTTCTTATTGCATGAGATTCCTGTAAAGTGTCTAGAGTTTTTTTGCGAAAGTGTTGCAGGATGAAATATATTATTTTGTTAGTTGGCAGCTTCCTGGCGATCTCGACCCTCTGACTGTGATGCTTTCTGGCCTTCCAGGTTCACGCAGATGGAGCGGGACGGCCACCTGGCCCAGTGTCTCTCTGAGCTGGGTGCGGACATGACCTGGTGAGGCGACAGGAAGCTGGCGGCGGGTCAGCTGGAAGAGGGAGGGCGTGGTCAAGTTATTTACTCCACTGACGTAGACCGAACACTCACATCCCAGACGGTCAGAGCCGGGTGAGAGTTAGAGGGCTTTGACTGAGCCACTGAAGAGACTTGCCCCTTGTGGCCGCTGAGAGGATGATTCTTCTTCTCTAAATGACTTTGGAAAAAGAAACTTTGGCTGCAGCCGCACCTTTCAGCTTTTTGAGCCGCTTAAAGCTGGAAACATAATTATCTGCATTGAAATCCGAGCCCCGGGAAAGCAGCTGAGAAGTCCTTCAGGCCCAGCGCCTGCATCTGATTGGCCTGCAAAGCTAAGGAGATGAGGCGCTTGTTCTGTTATTGGATAAATTCAGATTCGTATTCCATGTTTCAGATTTGTAAAACTGGATTTTCAATCTCAGTTTTACTCCATTTACATTTTTTTCTTTTTTTTTTAAGAGAAATGTAAAAGATGTGATTCTTGTTCCTCAACTTGTCATATCGATGTATTTTTCCAGTTTTCACTCAGTAACAACATTGTTATAATGTCTACGATACGACATGTTCAGCTGCTGTTGTGTAGCGCAGAGTGCAATATGTTAAAAAGCAGAAATTGGGCACATATATGTGAAGAGGGTCAGCTTGCCGTGTTGGGATGGTTTAGTCATCATGGTAACAGCCTTTAAACCCACTCTGTACGAACTGATGTTTTTGGTAGCCTGTTTATACTTTCACCTCCATCTGGGAGTGGATTTCTGTAAGAATTGGCATCATTTGTCTGAATCCACAGTCTGTTTGATTTAAGCCACGTTGGAAGGTTTTCCAGGATGAACTGTGAGTTCAGGCTCGTTTTGCACGACCGCCATTAAGACGGCATGACCCTCACCTCCCAACAAATTCAACTTTTGTCTCATCGTCCCACAGAAGATTTTCTGGATGTCGTTGGGTTCACCTTGTGAAAAATAAGCATGCTTAACATAATAAATATAGAAAACCAAAACTAACAGAAATAAACAATATTTAAATTCCTTTCAAACGCAAAAATGCAAATGTTGCATTAGATTCAACCGTTTCTTAAAACATTTGTCCTTTTTTTTTAACCCTTTAACTGTCACCAAAAACACTTTCATGCAAGTCAAGGTGTGCATGAAGTCGCCATCGCCCTCATAACGGGTAAAACAAATCTCTATTAATTACTGATCTGTTTCTTGACTTTTGAGCCACTTCTGCATCCACCTTGGCTTTAGCATGTTGTCAGCTTTGCACACTGACATTCTGCACTTAACTAAATTCTAACATTTTCAAGTACACAATGCAAGACATATTAGTTGGATGAAAACAATCTGATGCATTCATATTCCATACAGCTTCATACAAGTTTCCCCACGTCTCTTCACTGTAATTTATGTATGGAAATATTTACAATTGCAATATTTCTTTTTTTTCATTTAGCTTTTACAAAGTCAACATGAGTCTTCTAACACTGTGAAATATTTTTCAACAAAAATATTTCGTTTGTGTTCTATTCCTATGCTGTTTAACTTTTTTTTTTTTTTTTGTATTTGTTTGTTCCTAAATTGTAGAAATTTAGCTCTGCCATAATTATTTCATCACATTTCTCCTAATCATTTTCATTATCCTTCCACACAAGAAGTAAACAGCTTTATTTTCACTGCATTCATCGCTTACGTCACGCACAAAACGGCTCAGGACTTGTGTTTAGTGACTTAACATCATTATTCGCCTCATTTATTTGAACATAGTGAAGAAAGCGCGTTTCCCGGCAATATTTAGAAAAAATGAATCGATATGGAAATGTTGCACAGCGGGGTCAAATGAAGTCAGATGATTCTGCTCTGCTGTGACCTTGGGAGGCGGAGTTCACAGCCATCAGTCTCTTCCTGTTAATCAAGGTAATTAGCGGGGTGATTGGAAACATCGCTTGTGTTCCTGTGACACTTTCATGAGGAGGAAATGCTGCAGAGCTTCACTCGGTGATCAACTGGCAAATTGACTCTGCAAGGTGCTGCTTTATTTTATTTATTTATTTTAATCGGATCATCGGCCTCACACGGAGATCAAGCGGAACCATTACCGAACTGTGACGTGCAGGAAGTGGATCCAGTCCTGCCGCGGTGGCTTCAGCGGGACGGCGCCACCTGCTGCTCAGGAGGACTTCCTTCCTTCACGCAATCAGCCGGGCCGTCGCTTTGATTACCACTCGGTGTCAGGCGATCGATTGAGTTTGATTGTCCATCTTTACACTCGTGATTGAACCGGAGTGTGTGCAACTGGATCTGAACGGGACCTGTCAAACTGGAATCTAATGCTTTTAACTGAGCTCCTTTAAACCGTTTAGTTACCTTGATCAATAATAGGAGGAATAAGGTTGATGGGATTTGACAAGGTGTTTTTTAAATATAGGCCTATAACATAAATGACTATTGTAACATGATGTTTTATAATGTAAAGCACTGAACTGCCTTATTGCTGAAAAGACATTTCATAAATGCTAAACAGATGAATGGAGACATCAGTGTGTCAAATTCTCCTGTCTGTTTCAGGTTTACTGGCCCGATTTCTGCTTGACCTGTGGAATCAACTAATCACTTCAATAAAACCCTTTTGACAACATGAAGTAGGCCAAAAGCAACGAGGGGCATGCATCATGCCTCAAACCATGCCTTCAGATCTGCATAAATGAGAATCTCCAGCTGTCAGTCTGTGACTTTCATCCTGTTAAGATGTTGTGACCTTAAACATGCATTTGAATGAACGAGTTACGACGTTTAATCTCCCTTAGGGAAATTGAATTTATCAAACATGCCACAGGACGCCGACCGGCTGCATTTCTGTCTGATCTCTAGTGCTACATCAGTTCTCGGTGTTTTTTTGGGGAGATTCTGTTCCGTCTACTCAAACCTCAGAGCCAGGTTCTGTTTATACTGGAGGTTCCTTCCTGTTAATGGGGAGTTTTTCCTCTTTGCTGTTGACTACTCTGTTAAGTCATCGACAGGATTCAAGCGGTTGTCTACTGCCGCTGGGTTTTTCCACTAATTTGAATAATGAACTGAGCTAAAACCATTGTTTGATAACCAAGATCAATTGTGTGAATGAATTAAAATAACTTTTTGAAAAGTGCCTTGGGAAAAGATTTGTTGTGAATCGGTGCTAAATAAATGAACTGGAGCTGAAAAACGACTGGAAACTCTCAAGCTAATGATATGGAAAGGTTTTTATATCATAAAACCTTTTTATTGTAATTAATTCTCACATGGAGGATCTTGAGCCTCTTCAGGTTTCTGTTTTCAAACTGATTTCAGAAATGAATAGTTATTTTGAACACAACTGTAGAAATGGAAAAGATGCAAATTGGAAGATTTACGTGTGTGATTTTTTTTTGTGTGTCACCCTGAAAATGTACAAACTATTAAAGAAAACATTCAAGCACATTGGCCTACATTTCGAACTGATTTTGACTTCACTGAGCTAATCATGTGAAGATGCAGATTCGTTAATATTCCAGTAGACGGATGAAAATGTTCTTTTCTCTGAATCAAAGAAAGAAAATCGGAGGATGATGACAGAAGGCTCTTTCCTCGCTGCGCGAACGCAGAGAGCGGTGACGAGCTTTGATGCCTTTCAGCACTGCAGCTTCATCTCCCTGGAAATCAAACAAGGATGGAGCCAGGTCACGGAAAACCAGTATCATTTTAATAATTACACATATTTACAAGGACGCGGTGAAGCAACGGTAAGCAGATTGACCCAGCATTATATTTAATAAAAATCGTGGCCTCATTTCATTCATGTTTCAGTCGTTCTTTAAAGTGTTCAAGGACTTCCAGTTCATCCATTGGTCCCTCAGAAAACATGTTATCTGATGTACAAAAAGCTCAACAAAATCGTTTAGAACATGCAGCCAAACAGGTGGAGTTTATCGGGGAGGCTTCCTCTGAGCTCCATCAGCATGTTGGTGGCGACCGAAGCACTTCGTTATCTATCCGATCCCACCCTGCGGATTATTAAGATTCAGAGTCAAGGTGAGCTAATTAATCCTATTATGTTGTTATCAAATTAGCACAGGTCACAGTTCATCTCGTTATTCCCGGCCCACAGAGAGGCCCTCCCCCCTCCCAAAACCCTTCCCCCTGAGGAGATCGACCTCCATCCTCAGAGCTGATATTCACAGATCATTACACAACCGTTCTGCTCCAGGAGAAGAAGATGGAAGAACCTGGGTGTTTTCTGTTAAAAAAAAAAAAAAAAAAAAACAAAAAAAGCTCAAACTTAAATCCCCAACTCGGTGAATCATGTATAAAAATGGACAAGATGCATCAGCCATCCCCAGTTGTTTTTCTTCAACAGAAGAATCATTCATTATCCGTCTCAGGAAAGCAGTCTGTGCTTTTTATGTCCAAAGGAAGTATTTTCAACGCGAAGGAAACAAATATCTGAACCTGAAAATCTGACATATCGTCAATCTTGTGATCCCAGCTCAAAGCTCCTGTGTGCAGAAATGTCAGCTGTGAGAGTGGCAGTAGGTGGATCAGCTGCAACCCGGTTTGCCTTCAAACTGCGCCGCTGCTGAGCTGCAGGAGGAGGCTGGGCTTTGGACCATGAGGAAGGCTCGCTGTAGAACCGACGCGAGTTTTCCACCGTCCAACTAGATCAGTGATGCGATCCCTGCTTTAAACCTTCTGAGCGTTAGCCTCGGACAGAAGGACCTTCATGAAAAAACTAAAGGCCTGTTGCACAGACTGATGCATTTACATCACACAGGACTCAAACGTTGAAGAGACGGCTCATGCAAATGATTCAACCAAGCTGGACCTTGGTTTACCTTCCCAAATCATCTCCTCTCACTAGTGTCCAGCAGGACGCCACGTCGTTGTCCCTTCTGTCTTCCTCCTGACTCCGCACACAGCCAGTGGAGTTAGAAGAATGTGAAAGGTTTAGGTCAAAGAGGAGAGTGAGGCTGAATCTATGAATACGGTCTCAATGTTCAGGAATGCTGACTTTGTTCAGGGGTCGACGGGTTCTAAGCTTCGTGGATCGGCTCGGGTCCAGACGCAGTCGGAGGATATAGACTCTATAACTGAACACAGTGAGCCCGTCTGGAAGTTTGACAGCCTCACTGTCACACTTCCAGACGTTTCATTTCTACTTCCACAACCAGTTCTGGTCAGTTCGGCTCATTCGGGAGACAGAACCGGTTGCCTGTAAGGCAGAACCCAGCCAGCTTGCAGAGGAAGCTCAGATCCGGTGTCTTGTGATTCTGGTCACAATCCGTCTCTCTTAACAGCGGTGAGAGTCGGGGCAGAGCGCGGAGCTGGGTTTGGTGGTTTTTGGCTCAGCGTTTCTTCATCACAACGGATCGGAGCGGCAGCTGCAGTACTGCGGGCTCCACCCATCCATCTTCTGCTCCGTCCTATCAGAACTGGCAACAGCTTAGGTTCATTTAATTCTTCCCAGTTTGGTGAGAGAGACCTGTGATCCAGCGAACACAACGAGGTTAAACCGTCAGCCGTTCATCTCTTGAAACCTTCTGCTGGTGTTCTGTGGGCCACTGCGGATCCAAAGCCCAGCTGTCTGAGGCTCTGAACTGAAACTACATCCAGCAAAGCCAAACTCGGTTTGGAGATGGAGACACATGGCGCCTCGCTGTGGAAGTTAGGACCAGCAGGAAGTGGGGCGTTGTGGATGGCGTCTGTTCAGACGTTGAAGACTCAACAAGCTCTCCATGTGTCCTGATTCTGTGATAGACGATCATCGCTGAGAGGTTTCAACACTGAAAACAAGAGGACTGGACTGATCGGCTGGAGCCGCTGGGCGGAGGAGGTCCAGGAGGAGCAATCAGAGGCCGAACTCATTTGATCTTTGAGGCACTTTTTAAATAAAAACTACTCTCTCGGACAGAGTCCCACGTTTAGCTAGAGACAATCAGAAAAGATTTTAAAAAAGAAAAAAAGAGAGAGAACATTTTGCGCTTGAGAATGAGAATGTGCCAGTCGCATCGACAAAAGGCATCGTCAATTTTGGATTCGTCACCTACATCGTAACACGCAGTAACCTAATTCTTTATGTTGTACATTCTTGCTCGGTGCGAGGCGAAGCCTCGTCTACGAGACGGAAAACCAGAAATGAGGGAACAGGTGCGCCTAAAGTCATCTGAAGCTGAACTCTGGTCTTCATCCTGGGACGGGTTGAAATGTCTCCATGACGGCAGGCACAGAATGACACACTTCTGCTCTGAAATGACAAAGCCGGCCATGCTTCTGACTCGAGGATGGAAATAAGCAGAAAAAGAAAAAGGAGAGCAGAACAGGAAGGTAGGAAATGTTCCCGGAGTCCGCGGTTTGTTTTCCACTTACAAACCACACGGACAGCAGAGTCTGCTAGCAAAACAATCCAAAAGTCCAGGAAGGAAACTCTGCTGTCCCCCGGCCCGCGTCGCCTTCATGACCGGTGCAGCGAGTTCATCCTCCTCCTCCTCTTCCTCCTCCTCTTTGCCTTCCACTGTTGGCTTGTGTTGGTTTTATTTTTGGCTAAGACGGCAGCGTGGACAGACAGAAGGTGGGCGACAGAGGAAGCTGCTCTCTCCTTCATACAGACTCCTCTGTGGATAGCAGCAGGGGGTTGATGTATTCAAATCCCTCAAACTCTGACTGGTCTATTCTCTTGATGACGTCCCTGGGGAGGAGAAGGAGAAAAGAAAAAGAACCTGTTAGAGTCGTTCCGGTAAAAACAAATCACCTGGCTCTCTTTGGATTTTATTCTGCCAATCTGAGCATCAAAACCTGGTAGCCTGCAACTGGAAATCTGTCCTGTCTTACAGAAAAAACGTCTTTTATACCGTGATGTAAAAGCTTGCGCATCCCGTTAAAATGCTTTGTTGTTGGGATATAAATAATAAAATGACCTTTCTAAGCTTTCTTGACCTTTAATGTGATATTTGTTCTGAATAATTCGCCTGAAAGCTTCACTAGTGTAAAGAAAACAAATATCCAATCCATTGTTGAAGCTTTATGGGAGGCAGCATTCAACTCACCAAAGTGCTAATATTTACTGTTGTAAAAGTTCTCTAAATCAGTCAGACGGGAGAAGGTCTCAGGTTCAACATCAGGAGAGGTTTGATGTTTTATCAAATTTAGTTTTGAACTCTGGCTCCGTCGTTCAAAGATTTCCTTCCTCGGTCATTTTTCGATTTGACTGCATGCCTGGACAGTCGTACTGTGGAGCAGGAAAATGAACTCAAACTTTAAATGTCCAGAACTGCTCATCATTTCATCCACCTGAACTAAAACCTGGTTTGGTTAGAAGCAGGTAAGCTCACAGCATGCTGCTGTCACCGCGGAGACGGTGTTAGGTGTGTGTTATTTTGTTGTTGTTATGTAGCCTGTTGTGTTCACACACAATCGGCGTCTTTGGTCAACAAAAACTACCTTTTTTTTTTTTTTTTCTTAAACCGGGTTGTGAATACCGGTTTCATGTTTCCATAGAGCCGTGATGACATCACAGCTCCCTCTCTCTTTATCCCCGGATGCGCCTCGCTCTCTCAAACAACGAACACGTTGTTGTCTAGGCCTGCCACAAAAATCAGGCAGTAAATCAATAAATCAATTTATCGCATGATAGATTAAAACAAACTCAATTTTGATTGGCATGATTCATCGTGTCTCTTTTTTCTCTCTTTCTACCAAAACCTGGATGGTAAAAGTCTTGAAGTTTGGTGATTTGGTGTCAACTAGACCTTTGATTGAAGGACAGTTTTGTTTACAAAGACTTCAGAGTTCATTTTATTTGTCGTCTCATTTATTTTGGATATTTAAAATGTCTTCCAGTGTCAAAATGTTCATCAGAGTTTAAAGTTTACTGATCTTTCAGAATGTGCTCTTGAATTATTACTTTGCCATTAATTACCATCACATTACTTAAAAACAGTCTCAAAGCAACAACGTTACAATTCATCGCAATAACTTCTGGAACAATTTGTCGACCAGCAAAGTTTGTCACGGTGACGGGCCGAGTGTCGTTCTGTGTTTTCCGTGTCGATCTCTGGCGCCGCCGATTGGCCCGGCGTGTCGCTAACGACCGAACTTTGACGGAGACATTTCTAACACTTTGTTTGTCACTTTAATCCCAACAGCTTATTGATTCCATGTCATCATGACGGGGAGTTTTCCTCATCGCTGCTCGTCCCGTCAGGAGCACATGGACTGCAGACGGGTCTTCACTGCACTGTTACAAACTGCATTCACATTCTGGATTCAAAGGAGAAATCAAACTGGTTTGGAATCGACAGCAGGGACGTCATGATGGTGCTTGATTTGCAGCGCAGGTGTCACCTGAACACGCCGCTCTTCTTTATTGTCTCCCGGCGTCTGTGTGCGGTTGGAGCCTGTAACCTGCTCCTGCTGCGGCTTTCTTTCAGCTCACTTCAGAACAAAAGCCATGAATTTCCTCCTCAGGCGGCAAAAAAAAAAGGAAAAAAAAAAGAAGCATTTATATTTGGGGGTTTATTTCTTGGAGAATATTTCTGCTAATAACAAAAGCCTCATCGCAGGTGAATGAAGTGGAAGCCCATACATAGAGAGTGAGGAGTAAAAATAAATTGACTCCCTGAGCAACGCTGCTGCTTTCTTCTTCTGCTGCAGCAACAGGGTGTTTACTCATCTGTGTGTGTGCTGGGGGTTGAGGGTGGGGTCGAACGAGGCCTCCTGCTAGAAAGGCTGGGAGGCTTTCTCCCTGCAGACACTGAGTGGGGCGGGGGCTTTGAAGTTAAAACAAAAGGTGCGCTGAGTGGTCCACCAGGTGGGTGGGAGTCTCCAGTTAAGGGCCACCAGCGGCGTCCAACAGGTTGCCCGTCCCACCCACACGGAGCACCGGGACAAGTGAATGCAACACCGCGGTGTCTTTCCTCGAGTGTGCCGAGTGGAATATTGATGAAGCAAATATTTTCCTTCCGTCTGATCTCGTGTGAAGAGCCGCGAGCGTAGGAGGAGGTCGGCCAGCGAGACAACAATCGGATTTGGAGCGCGGAGCACTTTCTGAAAGGCGGAGGGAGACGGAGCAGCAGCGAGGGATACAAAGCAGAGAGGAGACGCTCTGGGAGGGGACCAAAACAAACACGGCATTCTTCCCTTGCAGGCCAGGAGGAGCTGAAAGCATTACCAGATGCAGAGAGAAGAGCGCACCCAGGCAGGAGGAGGACCAGGGAGACTGGACGCCACTCAAACCAACACTCTACGGCGTAAACTCATAGTGACCGGGGGACAGACTGGCATGGAGGCGAGCACAATCACACGAGTCTGAGTAATTTTACCAAAAACTACCAGAAGATTCTCTTCCTAGCGTAAAAACGGCTCATTTGAGACGGTTTTATTTAAGATGTTTACTACAAAGGCCATGTCTAATAAAGAAAAGGTCCGATTTTATGGGTTAGAGTATTCTCTGGATCTTTACTAATGATCGAAGACAGACATTCTTCCTGCCACGATGTTAACACCTCATTACAAAAACGACCTCTGCAGGATTTTTCCCCAGAGAGAAAAAAATCCACAGTACTTCCACATGTTGGGTCTTTTCTCTGCATCCGCCTCAGTTCTCTCAGTGAGGAGGGATTGCTGAGTCAAAGTGAAACAAGAGTGATGCTTGGGAACAGTTGAACCAGTTCAGAAGGCTTTGGAACGGCTCACGATGGTTCCGAAAGGTCAACAATGGCTGGGAAGAGTTCAGAATGGTTTGTGCTGGTTCAGAACGGATCGGAATGATTTGGAGCAATCCGGAACGGTTCAGAACCCTGTAGAACCCGTCAGGAGGACAGCGGGGCCAGCCTGCTCTTTAAAACATGGCTGCAGCTCAATTAGATGGGCAGACAAATTACATCATCAGCACATATCATTCAGATTGAGGTCCAGGCTTTTACTAGGCCACTGCAGCACAGATTTTCATTTTGTCCATTCTAGTGTTGATTTGCTGGGGGGTGAGGGAGACTCTGACACCCAGCCAGCTGTCTGAGGCCTGTAGAGTCTGATCTAGTTTCTCTGAGCACTGCTTGTTCTCAACCTGCTGTTAAAAGTCACCTCATAGGTTTTCCTTCTAAAGAACTGTGTTCATTGAATAAACCTCCTCTGGTTGATGGCAGCAACAGTTGTTTCTTTAGGATCACCGCTCATGTGTCTCCTTCTTGACATTGTGTTCACACACGCACACACACACAGAGCGTAGTGCTGCTCCAGAGCAACAAACTGCCCACATCCCTGCTGTTACTCAGGCCTTCTCACTCGCTGATGATTCAGCAAGAAAATCAATTCCCTATTATTAGCAGCATGTGCTCTCTGCTTTCTCTCTTACCTCTGTGGAAGCAGTAAAGGTGACCCATCGGCATATGGATCAATATACACTCCTGATCAAAATCTTAAGACCAGTCAAAAAATTGCAAGAATTTGCATTTTGCACTATTGAATCTTAAGAAGATTCTAAGTAGAGCTTCACAATGTTAAAAGAAAATATTAGTGCAAGAGACAAAAACATTTGAGCGGGGAATTTTCTGAAAACTGCATTTACACTCAAACATGATTTTTTCAGCTGATCAAAAGTTTAAGACCATAGTCCTTAAAAGCCAAAAGCTGTGCAAAAATCTGGATTCCATGTCATGTTCTGTGAAGTCTTTACACTGTCAAGACCTCCAGATGGCAAAAGCAAAAAAGCTCACTGACTTTGAACGTGGCAGGATTGTTGAGCTGCATAAGCAAGGCCTCTCACAACGTGCCATTGCTGCTGAAGTTGGACGCAGTAAGACAGTCATTTTGCATTTTTTAAATGATCCTGAGGGTTATGGAACAAAAACGTCAAGCGGTAGACCCAAAAAAATTTCACCAGCTCTGAACCGCAGGATCCGATTGGCTGTCCGTCAAGACAAGGGACGATCCTCTACCCAAATTAAAGCCATTACTGGTGCCGACTGCAGCCCGATAACCATCAGACGGCATCTGCAAGGGAAGGGCTTCAGAAACAAAAAACGTCTTCAAAGGCCACGTCTTCTTCAACTCCACAGAATTGCCCGTTTGGACTTTGCAAGGGTGCACCAAACATGGGACATTGAAAGGTGGAAGAAAGTTGTCTTCTCTGATGAGAAAAAGTTTTGGCTTGATGATCCTGATGGCTTCCAACGTCACTGGCATGACAGGGAGATCCCACCTGAGATGTTTTCTACACGGCACAGTGGTGGGGGCGCCATCATGATTTGGGGTGCGTTTTCCTTCAATGGAACAATGGAGCTTCAGGTTGTGCAGGGGCGTCAAACAGCAGCTGGCTATGTGGAGATGTTGCAGCAGGCATCCCTCATGACTGAGGGCCCTCGTCTGTGTGGTAATGATTGGGTTTTTCAACAAGACAATGCTGCAGTTCACAATGCCCGCCTGACAAAGCAGTTCTTCCAAGAGAATAACATCACTCTTTTGGACCATCCTGCATGTTCCCCGGATCTAAACCCAATTGAGAACATTTGGGGATGGATGGCAAGGGAAGTTTACGAAAATGGACATCAGTTCCAGACAGTGGATGCCCTTCGTGAAGCCATTTTCAACACTTGGAGCAATGTTCCCACTAGCCTCCTGGAAACACTGGCATCAAGCATGCCTAAACGATTGTTTGACGTCATCAACAAGAATGGTGGAGCTACTCATTAC